TACTAGATTATGTCAAATTCTTTATCTTTGATGATTATATAGATTTTACTTTGTTAATTGGCTGCATTGCATTGATTATTATCAAAAATTAGGTCAGCTTTTATCCTGGAATAAAATTTATTGTTTATAATTTTTTTTTGATAAGTGTGCTAAAATTTTATTTAGTATTTTTTGTATGTGTGTTCATGAGAACATGGCCCATAATTTTTTCTCTTGTAATGTCCTTCTTGGGTTTTAGTAGCCCCATAAAGAATTTGGAATCAGTCCTGTTGTTTTTTATTTTCTTGAAAATTGCACAAATTGTAATAGGTATCACATTGGTATCATTTATCCCGTAATAGTTCAGAAAAGCTATATATACATCAAGAAATTGCTTCAGGGAAAATTTTAAATTAAGTATTAGAATTTTTAAGTAAAGAATTATTCAGATTTCTTAATTTTTTGGTCAATATCTGAGCCAGTAGTACTGAACCTATGGCACAGCGGGTTGTTAAAATGCTCACCATCACAGTCTAAGCTGTATTTTTCAAAGAATTTATTTCATCTAACTTATCATGTACATTACTAAAGTTGTTCTTAATGTTTTATTACCTTTAAAATATCTGTTGGATATATGTTGACTATCCCCCGATTTATCTAAAATTTGAATATTCTTTTTTATGATTATTCCTGCTAGGGGTTGTCAGTTAATATTTTCAAAGAAACTAGCTTTAGGCTTTCTTAATTATCTGAATTCTTAATTTTCTCCTAACTACTTTTTATTTATTATTTTGCTGAATTTTTTTGTCTGTTCCTTTGTTGTGCTTGGAAGTTTTCTTTCTAGCTTATAGCGGTTGAAGCTTATGTCACTGATTTTTTTTCAACTTCATTTCTTAAATACACATTTAAAAACTAGAACTTGTCCTGAAAGAATGAACAGTTCAACTTCATCTTATCTATTTTCTTTTATATTAGTCTTATCCTGTATTTTATTTTTCTCTATATTTTAACCCTGTGTAGGAGTCATTGTTCTTTTAAATGCCAGTGTTGATTTGTGTTTATCTACATATTTACCTTTTCTTCTTTATTAATCCCTACAGTTTGTGCTTCTAAGTAGGGTCATTTTGATGAATCCCTATTGTATAAGAAATTCTCTTAAGCTTTTATTCATCTAAAAATATTTTTATTTCATGTTCATGTTATGTGAGGATGTTTCGCTCAAGTGTGGAATTCGAGGTTGATTGCTTTTTTTTTGTCAGCACCTTAGTGATGTCATTTTATTATCTTGTTCCATTATTTTTGATGAAAAATCAATTAACCTTATTTGTGCCTTGAGGTAATATGTCTTGTTTTCCCTGGCTGTTTTTAAGCTTTTCTCTTTGATTTTGGTTTTTAATATTTTGACTGATGTGAGATAGGATTTTCTTTATAACCTGCTCAGTTTTGTAGAGCTTCATAATTCATATCCTATAAACACATGTCTTTTGTTCGCTTTGGAAAATTAACCAGTATTGTCCAAATATTCCAAATTCTCCAAATGTTTTATTCAGTATCCTCTATGTGTAACTCCAGTTAAATGTGTTAGATCTTTTCTCTGTGTTGTAAACATTTATATTTTCTCTCCCTTAACTTTTGTGTAATTTTTTCACAAAGATTTATTCGCCAATCCTCTGATTTACTGTTTGGAACTTGATTTCTTAATGTTAGTGATTGTATTTTCCAGTTAACTCATAGATGAGAATTCTAGAACTTTGTTGCAATTCTCTATTTTTCCTCCCCCTCTCCACAATATCTCAAACATAATAAAAAATCTCTGGTAACTCCAAAATCTGAATGACTTGTGTTTTTTAAATTATTTTATTTTTCTTGATGGCTTACTTTTTAAAAATTTCAGATTGTATGAAATTGATATAATACCATTTAAGTATTTCATATTTATAATTCAATTTTTTCAAAAAGTATATTCATAGTGGTGCATCAATCACTGTTATCTAATTTCAGAACATTCCCTTTATCCCAAGAAGAAACCTCATATCTTAGGAGGTTCTCCCTTCTGTCCAGCCTCTGACAACAACTAATCTACTTTTTACTCTGGATTTGTCTATTTTGGGCATTTCACGTTAATAGAATCATAAAATGTATAGCCCCTTTGGTGTTCAGCTTCTTTCACTTGGCATATTGTCAAGTGCATCTATGTTGTAGCGTGTATTAATATTTTACTTTTTTGTGGCCAGCGTCTTTTTTTTGGCAGTTGTAGTCATATACTACATTTTGTTTTTCTGTTGCTAGATGACTGGGTTTTTCCCATCTTTTGGCCATTGTGAACACTTGTGTATGGATTCTGCATGGATGTGTTTTGAATTCTCTGTATGTGCTGGTGGTAGGATTGCTGCATCACATGGTGGCAGTTTAACTTATTGAGGAACTGCCAATTTGTTGTCTACGGTGACTGGACCTTTTTACCAGCATATATGAGAATTCCCATTTCTCCACATTTTTGCTGCAATTCTGTAGTTTTTACTTTTATGCCATTATTATAGCCACCATATTGGGTGTTGGCCATTTATTTGTTCTGTAGAATGCTGTGTAATTTCCAGCAGAATGTCAGACTTTGTAGATGAACACTTCAGAAGCTCAAGTTCATGTTGTTTTCTTCCAGTGAGAGTTGTTTGCCTTTGGAATGTGAAGTAGTACATATAGATGCCTTGAGTCTGCTGTGGGTTAGTTATGAGACTTGCTGGGGCCAGTCCCTTTCAGTTCAGACCTTAGTCTAAGCAGACACCGTGCTTGTTCTCTTCCAAAGTCTCAGAGAATGTGAGTTGTTGGTGAAGGCCCCTCTGGCGGGGCTCGACTCCAGCCTTTATCTCTCCAGCCCTGGGCAGCGTCTGGAGTCTCTGCTTGGCTCTTTGGCCTCCTTTCATTTTCTGGTAATTTTTTGAATTCCTGTTCTTTCTGAATTTTCCTCTTGGTCCTTTTTTTTTTTTAGTTTTTCTGCTTTCTGGTCAAAAACTCTGACTCTTCAGTGCATTAGGACTGCTGCTTCTTTCTACATGGCTTTCTTTCCCTGTGCACAGAAAACTCTAGGAAAAAGCCTAGGTAATTCTGCTGGTCTTAACGTCCTCCCTTCTTTTCAAGAGGTATAGTCCCTCCTATTCCTCTTTGCCTAAGTTACTGTATAGGGCCTTCTAGTCTTACACATATTGGCAGAATGTTATGACTTTTTTTTTTGAGACAGGATCTTTGTGATTCAGGATGCCCTTGAACTAGCTGTGTAGTGCAGTACGGCCTCAGGCTTGAAGTGATCCTCTTGCCTCAGCCTCTGGAGTGCTGAAATTAGAGTTGTGTATCACCATCCCGGGATCAACAAATTTTTGGGTGTTGGAGTACTGAGAATTTAAACTAGTCTCAGTACTGAGCTATGTCCCCAGCGCTCCTCCCCGCTTTTATTTATTTATTTATTTGGGTTTTTTGAGACAGGGTCTCACTATGTATTTCAGGCTAGTCTTAACCTCATTATGTAACTCTGGCCGGCCTTGACTTAACAGCCTCAGTCTCCTGAGTGCTGGGATTACAGGCATGTGCCACTGTGCCTGGCTCCGAATTTTATGACTTTTCTTAGCAGGAAGGTTAGTTTAGTATCAGTTACCTGATCATGATGGTAATAACAACTAATGATATTTTATTAATTGAATTACAAAAAGTTAAGCAGGCTTGATAATAAGTAAGTGGTAGTTAAAAATAAGATGGCTGACAAGAGTTGTGTTTGCAATTTTTTTGTTAAAAACCGAACAAGGTTAATTGTTTAAAGATAGAAGTCAGATAAGAATGTAAGATTAGAGTTCATGAGAAACTAATGAACAAGTTATCTAGATTTACAAGTAAAGAAATTAAAATTCTGATTTTTGAATGGATGCTGTTAGAGTTGTACTTGGTTATTTTTGTAACTGCTAGTGATTGATGAAATGATTGGAATTTTGAGTATTTATGTGAGTTGGATAAAAATGTGTGTCTTAAACTCTTCACAAAATTTGGAAAGGTACATAGTAACTGGCTGGCGTCAGATAATGTGGAAGGAAGTTATTCAACGGAACATACTCAAATCACTGAGAAGCAAAGAAAGTAGAAGTAGATCTGTAAAAAAATAATGCCTTCTTATCCTCCTACAGCCTTAAAAATTAAAAACAAAAACAAAAACAAAAACAAAAAACACAACAGGCTCTTAGTAAAAAACTAACCTTTTGATTTCTTCACCAAAATATCCCAAGAAGGGAGCCAGGTGTTTCAAACCATCTTGTAGCTATGATTTTCTTTTCGCCCTTTTGTGAACTCTCAAGGTTAGTCAGTGGTTTTCTTCAAAATTTCATTAGGAAATTTGCCAAAGGCATCCTTTTGAGGCAGCTGTCTCTGTACCCTTGGAGGCCATCAGTAATGTTTCCAATCTATAGCAGTAGTCGGCAAAATGTTGAACTGAACTGTTGTCTTTGTGTTATAAAACATTCCTTCACTGCTACCTCTCCCCCCAAGCACCCACCAGACAATAAAAATATATCATATTTTAGGACTTCTGTTCCTTTTATTATTTTTTGTTACTGCACCTTTTCAGGTAAAATCCGTTAGTGAAATGTATCCAAATGATCACAATGAAAGAAGACTTAATTTTTTAAAACATGATTTAAATAACAGACACATTAGAAATGGTTTATAAATAAATTAGAATTCTGTTTGTTAGAAATGTTAAAATTTTCATTTTACTATTGAGATTTTATAAATTAAAATACACAGTAATTATGGTCTGCTGTTCTAAAGTGTTTGGATGCTATATTTATACTAACCATCTTGTACAGTTTTAGAGGATATTAAATATGATATTAATAAGTCTGCTTGGAGTGCATTAGAAGAACTTGAAATGCATTTGTTGTTTTGTCCCTGTTCAATTTAATAATATAGGCAACTGAATCCATATGCATCTTTAATATATTAGTCTAACTGTTGTCTTGTTTTACTAAACTGTCTTCTTTCAGCCACCCACACAGAATATGCCTATGGGTCCTGGAGTGATGAATCAGAGTGGCGTTCCCCCCGCTCCACGTGCGCACAACATGCCTTCAGATGGAATGGTAGGTGGGGGTCCGCCTGCACCACACATGCAGAACCAGATGAATGGCCAGATGCCTGGTAAGTTTTTCTCCTCTAAGACATTAACACCAGAGTTGCTTAGCAACTGAAACGACATGGGGGCTCAAGGGATACTAGATTGTTGATGACAAAACTGCTTTGAATGCCCCTGAGTACAAGCTCTCTTAGAGTTTGTTAGCTACAGAGCTACGTGACCTGTATTCAGTGTTTATCAGGCTGCCCTTGGGCTTTGATGTAGCTGACACACAGCATTCCTCTGATGAACAGAACTGGCTAAATTTAGTCTGTCTGAAACTATGCAGTACAGTTGGCTTTAGAAGCTTTTGGGGGAAAAAAGGCATTGTTCCATGGCTTAAGAATTAAAATTGTTTAAAAAGGTATCAGTGTTTCCTTTAGATTTTATTTACTTAAAAATTTATTGATGTTAGAAACAGTATCACGGGAAAAAACACATGGGGAAAAGAAACAAAACAGTCATTCAAGTGTTCCTGTATTTAGTATTTTCTCATTGATACTATTAAAAATGAATGTAGATTTTTATAAATATATTTTCATAGTATAACAGATACAGAAATTGATGTTTGAGGCAAAATTAAGCTGAAAGTATTAGTAAGCTTTCTTATACATTGAGGCATTCCCTTTTCTCCTTATCTGTTTTAACTTTAGAGTCCCTAGAATACCATGCTTTAGGCTACTGGATGCTTACCTAGTTACTATTTGCTGAAAAGTATTTTTAAACTATTTTGGTTTTGTAGCAACAGCAACAGCTCACAGCCATTATTTTCGTTGGAGTATTTTCTACCTTTAGAATAAGGATATTTTTACTTCCTAAAGACAGAAATTTTTTTATTAGCAAAAAATGTTACCACACCATTAACGGTAATGGGGTTAATTAAAAATTAAAATAGCTTATTAAAATTAGTAATTAGCCATCTTAGAATAGTGTCTTTTCCAGCTGATTGTGTTGTTGGTAGCATTGGTTTCCAAGGATGACACAGTAAAAGGAATGAAGGGGAGCACAGATCCGGAGTCCAGGTAGCCCGTTTTAGAAGAGTGATGTGTGACTGACCGCAGGGGTAAATGGTGTTTCAGTGGCTGTCTCATCTTTCCTGCTAAGGCTTGCAGCATCGCTGGCCCATTACTGCTTTTTAGTTTGCAGTTAGGAGGGAGTGAGGAGAAAACTTCTTGACAAATCCACATTTAGTGCACTGGAACATAATGTAAAACTGGAAGGGAAGTATTTGCACAGTTTAGATAGAAATTCTGTGACTTTTTATGGTAGTACTTTTAATTAGGATTTTGACTTAACTCTCATGTAACATTGGAGTCTAAGATCATGGAAGCATTTGAGAACGTGTTTGTTAAGCTGACATTTTGATTTTTGTGTGAGGTCACTTGGAATAATTGTATTATTTTTATAAGACAGTGTTAAAATAACCATTTATGACCTAGGTTGCCCAGAATACCATAGAGCTTCTAGAATAATACTTAAAAGACTAACTGATAGGGTTTATAGTTAGGTCTAAGAGAAATTGCCTTGCCAGTAATTTATATTTTCTTTATTTTTTAAATCATCTAGCCAACATTTTTACACACCCAAATTTGTATCTAGCTCTTAGTTTCCTGTTTTAGTTTTCATATATTATTTTATAATTTAATTGTAGAATTATATATGCTATTTGATCTTGACCAGAGAATCTCTTAGTTGCAGTACCTTTATAAAGAAAATTAAATTGATTTAAAAAAAAAAACCTAATATATATCTCTGAACACAAATCATAAGGTACCCAAAAGGTAGATAGGGTGTTACCACCTCTTTAAATAGTTCTGGAGAGGCATTGATAATCCTTCAAGAAGTGCTCCCTTAAGAGCATGTGTACTTCTTTTTTTTTCTTATTCCTTAAAACAGCAAACAAACTGGTAGTACATATTAAATAATCTTTTGTATCTTTTCTTTACCTCTTAAAGAGTTATCTTGGAGATCATGATTTCACTCAGTATATAAAAAGCTTCGTCAATCTTTTTGGTGACTATATCACAATTTTTTTTTAATGAATGTACTTTATTTGAACAGTTCCCTTATGAGGGAAATAAAGGTTATTTCTAGTACTTTGAGGTTATAAATTACGCTACCATGAATATGCCTGTAAAATCTATCTATCTATCTATCATCTATCTCTCTATATATATATATCTAGATATATATCT